CAGCGCCCGGCTGGTGCAAGCCATCGATCACTATGAGGGGTTCAGCTTGGCCTGACCGGCACAGGAGAGGCACAGACACTTGGGTACAGAGGCAGAAAACAATGAGCTTGGGTTTTATTTTTGTAAGGGAATGGATCTGAACAATTTTTTTTTTGAAAATATAAATAACAATAATAATAATAGAGATTAAGCAGTCTCACCCTGATGCTGCCAGCATTTTGTGGGGCTTCAAGTAGGGCGAGGCTGTTGCTTTGAATTTCCTTATCTACTGAATGAAATCAGTTCAGTGGGCATTTCTGTTCTTCTTCCAACTTGACATCACTGCCCTCCTGGCAATTCCTTGTAGTTTGCTTTTATTGCCCCTATACACACACACACACATACACACACACACTTACCTCTGCTTTTAATCCAGTTTAAATATTTTGATGTTTCCTTGCATTTAGGTTATGGTGGAAACTGAGGATCTCAGTAATCTCCTCTTTGAAAAGCTGTGATTTCCCCCCACCCTTTTTTCCTCCCTTTTTAAATGCAAGCTGGTTCTTGCTTGCTTTGAATGGAAATATCCCCTCTGCCCTTTGGTCCTTGGTGGATGGTACAGGGCTGGGATGTCATTTGTGACCCCCAGAGCAGTGCATTAGTGATGCTGTGTCTTTTTGCATCAGGCTGTCTCATGGAAAATATGGCGTTTAGGGGCATTGGCTTGTTTTTCCTCACTTGTCCTGTGTTTTGTTTCCAAGCAATGTCTTCTTAAAGAAGCCTCAGAGTCCTCTGGAGTGGGGTTTGTGTTCAGGCTTGTGGAAGGACGAACCCTACCTGAAATAGCGGGTTTCTCAAATTGCCTCTCTTGTATTGTGTGTTTGTCTTGGAAAGTCTACAGACTACATGGGTGGATTTTGCTGACCCCTGTTATTCCAATACAAGGTGAGGTGGCTGCTTTTACCACTGCCACCTTTCTCCAGAGGAGTCACGTGTGTGTGAATGTGCGTGTGCCAGGGTGTGTGAATGTATGAGGTGTTACAAGCTCTTCAGTCTGGTCAGGTCAAACAAAGGAGCACAAGATCCACTTTTGAGTGATAGCTCTCAGAGATTGGTTTTATTTTGGCAGCTAGGGTTAATTTATTTTGCTGTTTGAGAGCAGCCCCTTCACTTGACAGCTGTTTTGCTGGGGGGGGACCTGAAGGACAATCTGTATGAACTAGACTGGAAATATAGAAAAATCACTACCTAAATCCATCCTGTGTGATTGGAGAGCCTTTATCTTTTCCCCCAGTCTCGTCACCCCATTAAATAAAATTTGAATGATTCTTCCCTTCCCTTTCCCCTCCACCCCCCCAGTTTTTCAGGTCTTGATGTAAATCTCATTTTAAGCCTAGGGTGGTTTTGACATTGACTTGTTATTAGGACATAGTATTTATGCACCATGTTCAATAGACAGTATTGAACTTTGCACCTCGTAACAAAAGGTTTGAGGCTTCTAGGTTGTTTTTTTTAAGACAAGCTGTGGGCTACATGGAGAGCCCTCCAGCCTCTTTCTAATGCAGCATTTAAGATAAATATACAATTATATCAAATGTTTATTTTCGATGTGTGTGTACATAGTACAGTATTATGCAATAAATTTGATGTTTAATTCTGACTGAGTGGCTGCCTTCTCGTCTTGGGAAGTAAAGGAGAGGCTGCTCCAAGCACTGGCACTGCCTCACCCCCTTGCCTCACTGTACCTCTGAGCATGTGGAGGGAGGGTACTGCTTTCCTGTGCCTTGGACCTGGTGCTGCTGCAGCCCCAGCCCCAAGGCACTTTGCTCTCTCCACAGAGAGAGCAGGCGTGGTTTTATCTGCCTGTCATGTCTCAGACAAAGTCAGGCAAGTCCTCTGTGGAAGAGCTGGGAATTGAGACTGAACCTGTGTCATTCCATCCCTCTGTGTTTCTCCTCCTTTCCTCCTGCCTTGCAGGCAGCAGGGTGTGCAGCTGTGCCTTTCCTCAAGGCAGTGAAGGCCACCAAGGCTTCTCCAGCTTGTGTCCTACCCTGCCTGGTCCTGCAGACCCCTTGGCACAACATCCCCATGTCTCCTGTGACCTGAGCACCCTGAGGTGTGTGGTGGGGCCTGAGCTGAAATTTGCACCAGGAATAACAACCCATCTGTCAGAAGAATGATTAAAAGATAAGATGCTTTAATTTCACTGCCTTTAACATAAACACCCATTATTCAAACTGTTTACTCAGGAGTAAACGGAATAAAACCAAATGCAACTTGTAAGAATGACAAGTTTTTCCTCTATCTTTAACTCTTGCAATCTTATTTTGTCCACAACCCGTTCATGGCCATCATTTACATAAACCACAATGATTTATTATACCACAACGTGGTAACATACAGACACACATGTCTGAAATGGCCCCAGTGGACGGGAAGCCCAACAGACCGTACTGCCACCTACAGCAGACAGTTTGTTCTAGCAACATGAAAACAGGTTGTCTTATACTAAACAGCTTATTTATATCACATAAAGTACATTTTTGTACAGTACTTCACACCTTTTAAAAAGCACAGTCTTGTATTTAATATTCTCCAGTCAACAGTCGTTGACGTTGGCACAGACAAATTATCAAACAAAACACACAGTTGTTGCTTGGATTGACTTAGTGTGGCAGGACAAAGGTAACTCCTGGCTATTTGTGGTTAGTGGGAAGTCAAATCATTTGTGGGAGATACAATGTTTTAGTGCTCAGGAGCCCTCCTCCTTGTGCAGGCCTGGGAGAGGGGAGTCACAGCATCTGCAAACCCAGGATAGCATTTGTACACGTCTTTCCAGGACTGGAATTTTAAAATTCGCTTATCTACAACAGTCTTTTCTAGCAGTTCACAACTAGGCAGATGAAGTTTTACTTTCTTTTTGCCATGGGGAAAGACCTGAACAGTTTAAAAAGAGAAACTGGCTAGGTGTGGGTTTTTCTTTTAATGTACAATCTCAGATAACAGGCTTTGTTACTTTTAGTTTTCAAAGTCCAAAAATATAAACTCTCTAAAGTGCATAACTGTACTTACATTTCATAGAAACTATCTGAAATTCTAGCAATATACCATGTAAACAGCAGTAACTAAGCATCAGAAAATGCTACAATCTCATCAGTTTAAAAATAAAATGGACTGTTCCCTACATATCATTTATCAAGATTTGTCAGGGGCAAAACCCAGCAAAACAGATAATTTATCAGTACACAGTGCAAACAGGCTTTTAAAAGTAAGCAGAGAAAACATACTCCTGGGAAGCCTTGGCCCACTGAAAAAATGCATGATTATGAAAAAGGGCAGAAATTGCTTCTCTTGTCCATTTAAAGGTGTCCAGGCCCAGATTCAGCAAAGCACTCAAGCTTTAGTCCATTGTAATTCAGCAAAATCCCAAAACAGACCAGCTTGAGGCACGTGCTCACCATCCAGGTTTTTGTTTTGTTGAACTGGGCCTGAACAATACAAAAACGAGCCAGTGCTAAGCACCTTTTGGTAACTCAACATCCTTTCTCATCCCACGCTTTTAGAAGCAGAGTGACACTGCAGCCCGTTTGGCTCAGCTGCCTTACCTAAAATAACTAGGGAGTGCTGACTGTGAGAGAAAGAGCCTGCACGAACAGGCTGAAGGACAAAGGCACAGCTCTGGTTTCCTGGGCTGCCCTGTGTTAGGACAGGGGTTTACCCTGGTCAGGCTTCCCTTCCAGTCAAACACCTTCAAAAGCACTTTTTGAGCCCATTTGTCAGCCCAGTTAACACACCCAAAGGATCGGTTTTGCAGAGGCAGAGTCCCACATCTCTCAGGAGACGAGAACTCAGCACCTCTGAAAAGCCAAGCTCCAGGTCAGCACACAAGTCCTCCAGACCACTGGGAAATATGAAATTCAGTCTTTGCTGGTTTTATATAAAACAGGCAATTCTGCAGTCAGTAAAAAACCAAACCAACCCATAAGTTCCCATCGTAAGTGCTTTCACTAATGCAGATCAGTGCCTTACCTATCAGGACTAGCAACGGGCATGTGCAACCCACTGGGAGATGGCTGCCTTTTGAAGAGTTCATGGGATCCTGAAGAGACCAAAACAGCAGCAGTTTTGGCAAAAATTAACACAGCACATATGGCAAGTGAAACTACCACAACCCCAATACAATTATTTGTGAGCTTACTTGCCTGTAATAAAGAGGGAAGGGGGAGGAGTTGTTCTGAGAGTCCTCTTGGCTCCTCTGGCTACAACTGGCACTTGATTTCATCTCAGCCATTTGGCTTCTGCACACTGGCAAGGATCCCCTGGGGAGCTAAAGCACTATGGATGTGCTCTCCCTGGGACACCAGGGTCAAGCCCTGGCTTGGGCAGACCAAGGGGTGCACTCAAGCCTCTGGAGTGGGAGAGCAAGCCCAGGTGGTTCAGGACTGCAGAACTGTGAGCCCTCAGCAACTTGCTGCCTTTCTCCTTCAGGCAGCATGTTTGACACAAGCACCTGAATCAGTTGTCTCAGGACACTTTTCTGAAAGTCATAAGCAAATTTGAAAACACTGAACTGTCAAAACTTGCACCCGAGACACAGGCCCTTTCCACAGGCAGAACATGGCTCTGGGCTCTCAGTTCCCTGCAGTATCCTCTGTGCTGCCATACCTCCTACACACTGGGAAGAGACCATCCTCTGCTGCCATCATCACAGTGTCACTGCTGCAGCCCACGCAGTTGTGAGGTACATAAAAGAACAAAATTTAGGCTAGTGAGTATGTGGGACACCCATGTGGGCTGCTCAGCTTAGACTCAGATGTTTGTATCAGATGATGAACTACTGATGGGGAGGGTCTTCCAGATATCTTCCAGATACTGTACACCAGATATTTAACCAACTACCCAAATCCCAAGGGATTCTGACTTTAAGCTTTTAAAACCTCTTCTCTTCCCTGTTGCCCAATCATAGTCATAATGTCACAGTATCGCCTTCCAAGTGGAACAAGCTGGCAAGAACCTTCCTGCATGGCTCATTTTCTTTACTATCCCAAACAGATGTAGATACTTCCTTCTACTTCAGTTGAATTGGCCATCAAAAAAGTGGGAAGAAAACCCAACTCAAACCTGGGCAAAACTGCAACTCACACCAGCTCTAGGTGATGGTGACGAGATTCTTAGAGCATTTCTCCAGAGCAACAGAAGATGCTGGACTCCAAACAGTCAGGTCAAAAGTCTGAGCAAATCTTTACTGTAGCTACAAGAGAACAGTCTTGGTGCTACCTGACGTTCACATGAGAGCAGTCAGGGCGCTTGTCTGTTAAACGAAGGTAGAAGCTATTTGATGATTTCATTACTATTCATCCTACTGTGCCTCTTGCTATGAAATCCTGGGAAAAAAGAACAGCATGGCTGGCTTTGATATTCTAAATATTACAGGATCTGTAAGCAAATCAATACAGAAGGATCCCTTCAGTGCAGTCACTGAGCAGTGTCGTGTCTCCTACGCTGGCAAACTCCATTTTGGGCATCAGGCCTGGAGAAAGAGTGGGCAACGGTGAGTGTAGAGAGTGACGGAAATCCACCTTTCCTCCCTCTCCCACCTCCAGGAATGGCCCTTAAGTTCCCAGGGAGGTCCTCAACTCTCCCCAGTCAAGCTCCTGCTGCATCCACTTCATGCATTTGTCCATTTGGTGCTCTCTCCTCTTTGTTTATTGGCAAAAACAATCTCCTCCTTACATGATCTTGGAGCTAATATCTCTTTTACTGATCAGGACTTCCAGCAGCCTCAGCTTGGCCTTTATCTGCTTGTATTCATTGTACTCTTCAGCCATGGGAGTGCGGTCTTCTTTCTGCACATTCCTAGCGGGAGTGAAAGCAGATCATGAAGATTTCTGTAACAGGAATGCCCTCCCCTCAGCAGCCTCCCTCTGTACCCCAACAAGACCTACAAAGCAGCTCCTCTCTCCTCTACTTCTCATCAGAGAACAAGACCATCACTTTTATCCTTTGAGAGGAAAAAAAACAAAATGAGGGGCAAACAATCTGCTCCAAGGAAGTGTGGGACCCTTGTGTATTGAAGCTGAACATTATCCCACAATTCCAAATGGAAAACTTTATTTGAAACATGCCCTGCTTCTCTGAAATCGCCAGCCTCTACACAACAGCTGGAAAACAACTCAGGAGCCACCTGAGTGCCAGCCTGTTAGCCTGACAAAATAAAATACAGCCTCCCCTGGCTTGGTACCACAGCACTTGTTACAGGAACAGGCACACTTCTGAAAAAGAACATGACATCTGATCAGATTGCTCTTAGCCTAAAAGAAACCTTTTAAGTTTTCAGTGATTTTACAAAAACCTCTAAGGATGACGGCTGGTGGCAAGAAACAAACAAGATAATTTACAAATATAGGAAAACATTCTATCAGCTCATTAATGAGGGACATTTTCTGAAAACAATAAACCCAGCTACACTAAGGCAAAAATTCTTGTTAAACTAGTGTCTGAATATCTCACAGATAAGCAAGAATAGGACAGAAATCTAAACATATAGCATTATGAAAGAACTCAATTATTTTATTGCCGAATAACTCTTCCACCATTCCTGTCAGCTGTGCTAGAGGCAGCTGGATTTTCACAGTCTGTACTTTTGCTTCCCTCTGCTTGTCCTAAGACAAAGTTTTCAAAGAGGCCATGGTCCCTGAAGTTCTTTGGCCTCTGTGCGTGTGTGAGTGTGTGTATGCACAAGGGGTTGTAATTTATTTTAATAGGCAACTGTAAGAAAAGTGGGTATTAAATGATAATGATTGTGAAGAAATACGTAATAGTGAATTCAGGTAACTTTCCATATTTGGAGGTCTCTGTAGATGCAAACCAGACAAAGTAGCTGAATAACAGAGAGAAATTATTACCTTCCATTTTGTCGGAAAAAATTATCTTCGAAGTCTCTCAACTTTTTTCTGATACGCTTTTTCTCTTCCCTGACTTCTTGGAGCTGCTCCAACAGTTCAGAGCTATTGGGTTTAAAGATAAATAAGATTATACATATGTACACAATTATAACAGGAAACATACAGTAAACCTACAAATGTATAGTTGCACGTATGCCAAGCAACAGAGCTGCTCTGCCAACCTCATGTTACTTGAAATCAAAAGCTCTCCAAATTTAGTTCAGAAAAACGATCATACACTTCAGCTGAAGCCTCTAAGGAGGTCAAGTGTGTGTTTCACAATTTCCCCAGGGCACACAATTCTATGAAACTTACTTGCTGAAGATGGGTCTGGGTTTGGTGACATTTACAGGTTCGAGATTCAATGGTCACAACTTAAGGCTACCACCTACATGTGGTTGCATCAGACTCAGTTGTTTGAAACTAGCAAAGCTAGTTCCACTTGACCTCTCCAAAACCTCAAAACCTTGTAGAGTAGAGGGTTTTCATGATAGAGGCTTGCCACTGGTGAGGTGGGGCTATTATTTAGTGCTGGAATCCAAAGATGCAGAAGCCAAGTATGAGTATCAGGACAAGGTAGTTTCTTCCCAGACTCTTTCATATAAGGGTCTATTGCATTTAAAAATAAAGCACAAAAACTTCTCACTCGGATCATAAATGGAAAAAAAAATCTAGACACTTCTGACAAATAAAATGCTATCTTAGCAAGAAATAACTTTTTGAAGTTGCCTGTGAATTTAACATACATGGATGCTTCATGGAGATTTGAAAGCCCCATATCCTGATTGCTCCTAGATGGCATCTTATCATCCACCGGGGAAACAAAGCCATCAGCATCATCTTCCAGCTGATCCAAGAAGCTACGCACGCTGAAATCTGTTTTCATGGTGATTGTGAAATCTGGCTTCACATTGCTGTCCTCCTCAGACCCCTCCTCTTCCTCCTACAAACAGGGACAGAGCACCCCCACAACACAATAGGTTACTGCTTCCCTTCTCAGAAACAGGTTCCTCCTTTCACCACATGCACTGGGGAACATGTAAGAAAAGAAGTGGATAGGCAGAGCAAACACTTCAATTGCCAAGCAATACGCAGGACACCAGGAGACCATCAGTAAGACAGCCCATACCCAAAGCATGACAGAGAAACTGCAACCACCAGACTCAATTGGTTAAGGAGACCCAGGGCAACACAGCTGAGTAAAAAAAATATGCAGGGTTCTTAGCAACACGTTGCCTTGTTTAATTTATGTATTCTGATGTAAATCAACCCACTTACAGTCATTATGCATACTGTCTAAAGCACATCAGCCATCCTCTGCCTTTTCCCTACAGCATACACCTGGCAGCATAAAGACTTCCAGGCTAAAATATGGAATATTCTCTCAATAGTTGCAGCTCAACAGCTCTCTCTAATGGAGTGCTTGTAGAGTGATACCAATGAGCTCAGATCAGTCTTACAATTACCCAAATGTGGGATATGACTGACTGTAAAAGGACTGCTGTTGCTAACACATTCCCGACGTCAGCTCTGACCATTTAGCTGGAATACAGTAAAAACTGGAGTGGAAAACACTAAGTCTGAACTGAACTCTGCACAGTGCAATTTCCATTTTCCCCAAGGCACACTGATGAATTGGTTTTGTTGCAATTTTTTACAAAATTTATGGACATGAGATCTGAAAGTCCCTGCTGCCCTTGGTATTCACCAATTCACAGCATTCTTGAATGTAGGGCTTGTCCTGTGACACTATCCAGAAATTATTTTAATTATCAGGGAAAAGGGCCCAGTCTCTTATGTATGGAGACATTTCTAGAAGGCAGTTTTCAACCTTAATATAAAGAATGAGGGATGAGCATGAGCGAAAGGTAGTAAATGCCAGCATGGGCAGTAAATCTCTTAAATATGTAAGTATGTGTATATATATATTTATTTTACAGCCACGTAACTCTAGCCAGGAAGGATCTAAGCACATGCATATCTTTAAAAGCGTTTGAGAGCTAGTACCACTGAAGTCTTCAAAACAAAAATATATTGTAGCATTGGGATCAAAAGAAGACATTTTCTTGACTTTTTTTTGGTGTGATTCCTGGTGAACAGTTTAATTATTCCTAAGAGATTACCCCTACGTTTCAAGCAAAAAGGGAGAAGGTAACACTAGGACCTGGCCTAGTCCCATTAAATCCTCAAAGTCAATGATTCATAAATGCATACATTTAAATCAAATCATAGTTTGCCCAGAGTTTTCTTTTTAAGTTAAAGCTCTAGGCTATGATAATGCATTTAAAAGCCACAGGCCGAGAATTACAACCAAGCTTGAGGGTGAAATATACATTAGCTGGGGAGAAGTTCTGAGTAGTAATAATAATAAAAGATATAGAGAAGTTTGAATGCATCTGAGGAAAATCTGCAGGGAAAGATAATTTGTGAAAGTTAAAGCAATACCTAGCGACCCATCTGTCAGATGTAAATTTTATAGCTTAAACAGAAGGCATAAATCAGCAGTCACATACTGTTCTTAAACCCTGCAAACAACTCCAAGCTGAACTGGAGAGGGAAGACTGTTCATTTACCAGTCCCCAAACGTGCTGTGCTGCCTGGACAGGTAAGGACAACCAGGGCTGCAGCAGAACACCAGTCCTGCTGTGGCACGGAGGAGGATTTGCTAAGTCAATCTAAGCAAAAACAGTACATTTTGTTTTAGGAGAATCTCTCTAGCACCAAAGGAGAAGCTCCCATGCCCTTTCCTGGGTGAGCTTCTCGAAAGAAGTAAACAGACAATTCTCAAAGGCAGTGTGACAAACTGCTCCTGAGGACAGATGCGAGGTGTCTTCCCCATGGATGCCCATGAGCCTGTCTTGCCTCACTCCAGGGCACAATGGAAGGAAGAGAAACTGCAGAAATTTCATTTGTTTAGACCTCAGAGCCAAAACACTGCATTTGGTTATCACATTTTGCTGTTACAAATGAAAGAGCAAATTAAAAGGATTCTTAGCAAGAACTCAAATAGAAATGGCCATCTAAGGCCTTCCCTTTACACAAGTCTCACACAGGAATCTTATTTTAAACCTGCACCAGCATTTACACCTTGAACCAGAATGATCTTCAATGACTAGATCCATTTAGTGTGCACCTGCTTGGATCTTTGGGTAATCATGAGGTATTACAGAGTTACAAATATAAAATCTATAGAGTATCCTATCATTGGCACTCACAGAAAGCGAGAATCCCAATGATTTTTTCAACACAACATTCAAAATATTGTATCCAAATGTTTGGTAAGGCTTCACCTCAAACACCTTTCAAGCTTTTAGCCAACTCTCCCAAATGCTTCCGAAAACCCCAGTCAGCCAACCAACCAAGGAAAAAACCCCAACAACCCGATTGTCAGAGGCCTGTCAAATAGTGTTCTGCCCATAGAGGATCTACGCAGCAGCTGTTCTGGGGCCTTTTGGCCATTTCCTCTCTTCAGTTCTGAGTGAAGTTCAGTACAAAGCTGTCAGATGTGGCTCCACAGGGCCCCATTTAAGTGCTAATGGGCATGTAAGTGTTAACAGGCTTAAGGCTGTCATCATGATCTTCAGTCAGAAACTTCTCTAGGTTTCCATCCCCCATAGGACACTGCTGAGCCTGTTCGATGCTGCCCTGGCACAGCACCAGCCATGCTGGCCATTAGAGATCACCATAACTGACAGCTGAAGTTCTGACTCGGGGTGCAAGCATAGGTGAAAAACAGAGAACACGCTAAAAGAAAAAAACAGAAGCAAACAAAAATACTCCCCCACCAGAACACTACTGCAGATCTGATCCAGTGGTCATCTAGAAAATACTAAGAAGCTTAGTGATTATTAACCAGCCTCAAAACAGCAGCTCAACATCTTCAGTCTGCAATCTGGTATCAATGAATATGTGTCTTGAATAGTCCACTAATACACAATCTACTGTAACTGCTTAGTAATCAAATTACCTGGGATGTTTAAGTCTGCAGTACTTACACTACTAAGCAAGATCTGGCTGGGTAACAGATAAAATAACCCAAGTGTGCTGAAGCCCTTTTTTCCCCTGTTGCATTGCAAGGGTACCAAAAGTAAGCCAGGGCCCAGCTCCATGCTCTCTGTCCTGGTCAGCTGTTGGACTTCACTCCTCAGGGGAAGGTCCAATATCATAGCAATCATCATCACCTAGAATTATTACTCCACAGCAGCAAGAGAAAAAGAAACACAACAATCCCGCCATCCAAATGACCAAGCATTAACTAGCAGAATCAAGTTGTTCTTACTTTCATCCTCATGTGACTTAGCTAGAAATACCCTTCACCAGGTGGTGACACAGAGCCTAGACAAAAAAAGCACACGAATGGGAGTAGGTCAGGATCCCGGAAGTGCCCCGGCTGGCTCCATGTGCAAGCGTTAGTTTTGTGAGAGCTCATTCCTGCCACGGTGCTGTGTGCAAGCCACAGATCTTTGGAGTGAGAGAAACTACCGCAAAACAAGTTAGTGTCATTAAAACGAAAGGAGGAAAGCAAATAAGAAAGAAAGAAACAAGGGTAATTGTGATTTTTATTTTTTTTTGAAGCAAAATAAAATATATTATGTGCAGATGGAGGGGGAAGGAGAAGGACAGGAAAGAATGCAAAGCCAAGGAAATACTGTAGTCTTATCTACAAGGAAAGAATCTGATCAGAATTGGCGAGGCTTAAAGCACCTACTGATTTTTCAGGAGGACACTGCAAAAAAATCAACACTGACAAAAAAAAAATCAATCATTCTCTTTCATTGGTATAAGGGGAAAATTGATGCAAACTGAGCAATTAGTTAGCAGCTGGAGGTCTTCACCTTTATTTCCTTGAAGAAGGAAGCTGTTTCGCCCTCGATAATTGGCTGCAGCAAAGGGCTTCTCCGCTTGCTGGAGGGGGAACCCTGTGACAGGTGTTAACAAGTATGTTACATTGTGAACCCCTTTCTCCTCCACCACCTGCTCTCAGCTCATTCTCACCCATACATTCACTCCCAGCTCATCGCTGGACCATCAGGAGAAATCTATTTCTCACAGAAAAAACCATTCCTGGCAAACCCCCTGAACCTTGGGATGATTTTTCTCAGGATGTTGCTTAGCAAAGGACATCACTGCCAATCTCCTTTAAGAAAAAAGCTTGGATGCTAGAATACTAGCTGAGCAGTAAGTACAAAGCAAAGGCTGCAAGAAAGTAATCCCCAGCCCAAAGTCCATACACACACACACACACACACACAACATCTGGATGGTTCTCCAGAGCTACAGTGTAAGCTCAGCGAGGCTCTCCAGACTTGTTTTCCAGGAGCCTGATTTCCCACTGAAGTTCCTAATGATGCAGAGATGGCTTTTCAAATGTGTCCTGACTCTGTATGAGCCTCTCACTGTTCTCACTCAAGGGGGCTGGGGAAAGCCAGTCTCATCTCTCCTCTGACAGCCACTGTAAAATTTCAGTTTTGTGTCTAAACAGGACCTGAGCTCCTTTGAGAGCTTTGTGTTAAACTGCCCACAGCACACTTACATATCATCTTCCTTCATGATTGCCAGCACTGTCTTCAAAACATCCATTTTGGGGAGTATTTTGCATATTCAGGGAGGAATAGCTTTTTGTTTTGTTTTAAACACGGGACTAGGACCACCTCCCACTCTTTGCAGAAAAAAGCCTCGCTTTTCAGTGTGACTGCACTGAGTGATGCTGCCAGTCCGTTCACATCACTGGCAGTCTATAAAAAGTGGGCAGGACATCAGCACAGCTTGGGAACAGCAAAAAAAGTAAAGGTTCATACATGATGCACAGAGTAAACAGGAACCATGATAAAAGAATTCTCGTTCCATAGAAAGGCTCCAAGTATTCTGTGTGGGTTTTTTAGATCAATTTTTTTTTAAAGTGGCTTACACAAGTTGTCTAAAATGACAGTGAATTTGCTCCCTAGAGGCTTATGTTGGGTTCCTTGGTTGTGGCTGTGTCTCCTTGCCAAAGCACCACTTTGAATGAGGGAATATCTACCACTTGCAGGATCTCTTTAATACAAATTAAGCATTAGAAGACTGCCAGCCCTTTCTTTCACCAAGGACACTGCTATGCCCTGTGGGATCTACGCAAGTCTGTGTTCCTGACATACAACTCTGTGTAACCAAGCAGCATGAAAGACCTACGGCTCAGCGTGGGTTGGTACGGAAAGGGAAGTGAGGCTGTAGCCAAACAGAAGATGATGAAATAACAGCAGCAGCCCAATGGAAAGAGAAGAAACAACACAAAGTGAGATGTGTCCCATGGCTCATGGGTGGGCACTTAGAGACCCTTGATCAGCTTTGCCCTACTTCAGTATAAGGTGTGTCACTGATTCACTCATTTGCTTGATCTTTGAGCGATCAGGGAGGTTGGGACTTGGCCTTAGTGACTGTGTTGTATGCAAAAGTGTGGTGGTTCCTGCTTCCTCAGCTTGAAACCAAAGAAACAGCCCCCAAAAGAACGCTCTACTCACAATAATAGGGATGGTGCTGGCTCTGGAGAGGATCTGTTTGACCAAGCGATACCTGTCATACAATGGCTTCATCACCTGTCGTTCATTTTTGGTAACCTGAAAGGGAGAAAGAAGAGAGATCCATGAAGCCTGAAGCAGTACTCCACTGTAACTCATATGCCTGCGATCACCATTAGTATGAGGACGCTTGAAAGGAATTGTATGGAGATGACAGGAGAGCAGCATTAGCTCTGAAAGTGGTAATGGAAGTGCTCGTGTACTTATTGCAACTCCTGTGCCCAGTGCCAGCTGAGCTGTGGGGGGAGTGTCTTGTGAAGGTGGCTGTACGATACAGGTGGTTTAAATGACCGATTAGGTGTCATGTCCACAGTAAAAAATGACCCTCAGAGGCAGCAGTCTGTGCCTGCAATCACAAGTACAAGATGAGGTTTCCCATCCTTATTCCCGTGGCTGGCCCTCAGAGGCTGTACTTATGATTCAGGAAAAGGGAAAAGAGCTGCAATGACTGGACATTACAATGTAAGGAGATTTCCCCAAGCAGGTTAAACTACGGATTTCATAAAAACTGACCTTCTGGCTTTGTTATTCCTCCTAATTTCCTGTCCAAGCCAGCAGTTTTTCACTTTTTTAACCCCCTAACCTTGCTCTCCACACCTCCTTCCAGTCACCTTGCTGGGGAGAAGTTACCACAGAGCTGAGAAGGGACAAAGGTGCCAGGGCTGTGTGGCATAAAGAATACAGAATAGTGCTGTAATGTCCACCTCAGGCATTCCTTACATTGCTCTGTCCTTAACCCCACTCCTAACTGCCTGTTGTGCTCCCTCCCCAGTCTGAGAGCATTAGAAACTTAAGTGTATTCATTTCTGTTTTAATTTCAGGTTTAAGCTAAGCCAAAAACTGTCAGTAGCACTGACAGTGCAGAAGGGAAGACCTAACAGCCAGTAGCTAGTGTGGGAAAGCAGAGGTCTGTCCAACTAAGTACTAGTTGTGAAGAAGCTCTTTTATTTCTTCAATGTTGTGTTACAGCAGGGTTAGAAAACAAACAAAATCCTCAGCAGAACCTGATCATCATTCAGCACTGTCTGACCCACATTCTATGATGAGTGTCCTTCCATTAGATCTTTTGTCTAACTTTAGATTATAAAGCTCTTATGGGGAAGCTTTAACTGATGTCATGCCTATCTTCCTCAAGGTTTTCTACTGCTGCTAATCACCAGAGCACCTGAACAACCGCCATATAAAAATCATCACTGACAGCATAACCTCTGGGGAGCTTTGTGAGGCCTCTTTTTCTACAACAGAAATAGGAGGAAAGGGAATACAGCTTGAGATGGGGAGGAAATTTTAAAGTGAACTGCCTTTTATTTTGTCTGCAGTTGACTTTCACTGAAGTAAGCTTTCTAAAGCTTTCACATCCTCCCTCCAGAGCAGGAGAGGGTGTTGGTGCAAGGGGCAGAAGAGCTGTAAGCATTGCCAGGAGTGGGATGGCAGGGATGAACTCAGAATCTGGAGGTAGCATCTTCCTCCTGAAAACCAAGCCTGTTTCCTATGTTGGGGGCAGATGAACAGGGAGGAAGGAGGAGGAAGATCTTTTTACAGCTCCCTCTGTTCAATGCAAACACGCCCAAGCCTGATACGGGGCACCCAGATGGGCAGTCTGAGCTCTAGGGCCTGAATGTCCCACACCTCCAAAGCACAGCAGGGCTCCGATACTGCCTGTTTGTTGAGTAAGCAGCTCACATGGATTAGAGGAATGTGAGCAGCATCAAACAATTCACTCAGCCCTCTTTGTACTGAGTTTTGTATTGATGTGTCTGCACTCAATTGCACTGGCTAGCAAGTTGCCTCCATCTTTGGACATTTCTCTGTAACTAATCAAGAATACAACTGTAGAAACTGAGTAGTCTAAAATTATATATATGTAATATTAATCCTAGCTTTATTAGACTAGCAGTTAGTAAAACAGGAGGTACAGCACTACTGTTGGCTCAGACAGCCTCTCTTACTTCAAAAAAAACCAAACCAAGACTGTGCTGAGGCTCATGTTGAGGCTGAGAACTAAAGCATTCAATTAATAATATTTCAAAGTTGATAAACAGTACTGTTCTGTACAGAAAAATAAACATAAGCCTTGGCATGGACAAAAATCCTTAGGTATGTTGAAGAATGGAAAAGATAAGCAACACGCTTCAGTGTCTGGATATCAGTATGGAGGAACAACACAGAAAATTAATTTAGGCATTGGAAGTTAAGTGTATGGAGTCTGAGACTTACACCAGCAAACTTAACAGAAAGCAGACTCTGAAAGTAAATGCTTAGCACACAGGCAAACTGTCTCATTAAGTAAACATAAGTAAGACCAGCAAAGCCTGAGTATATTTTGGGACAACATCAAAATGCAAAGAGACTGCTGGAATAATGGAACCTTTGACACAACTCTGGGGCACACTCCACATGGCAAAAGAGCTGCAGCTGAGGAACAGACCATTGGTCGCATTGTTAGAGCAGCTCAAGAATTTCTGCAGAGACAGGCTTTTGGCTTAACTAAAACAGTTCGGTTCCACCTTTGCAGGTTCGTGTATCACTGGTGCAGAAAGACCCAGTTGCACAATAAATCTGAGCTCCATTGTTTTTCTTGTTTAGTTAAATGTCTTTAAGACAAAAAAAACTTGGCTGAACTATCCCCATTCTCCTCAAACTCTCAGTATTTTTCCACTGCTGCAGTGCCAGGAGCTAGGAACAGCAAAAGCTGATCAGCTACAGTCTTCCTTGCCATGCACTTCAGTGTTGCTAGGTATAGACTGCTTACTTAAAAACAAATAAATTAAAAAGCAGTTGTATAAATAAAGCAAGGGAAAGAGGGGGAAAAAAAGGTGTGCTGACATGATAGGCTCTGGGCTTGCTTTTTTTTTTAAACAGATTCAAGTGAGTTCACTTCAGAAGGATGCTACCTGTTGATTTACATCATTGTAAAGGCAGCAAAAGCAGAGTTGGTCTCATGGAGAAGACAGGGAAGGTTAAGTGGACTCCTTTGTGCTTCCCTTTTGCTATTTTACACAAGAATAAATCTGCATTTCCTCTCATATAACTATGCCATTTTTAGTTGCTAATATATGTGACTGTACAATATTAGCACTTCATGAATGTATTTAAATAAATTAGTGAGACTTTTTTAAAAACAATGGATAAAGAAGGAAATAATTCAGAAGTAAAAGGAAGGAAAAGATCAGGAATCCCATGCAGGAGCAGAATGACAGATTTGTCAGCTGCACTAATCAAGTACTCCTTATAAGCAGTAATTTGCTGCTCCCAAGCCACTGCTCAAAGGATTAGCACCACTCTGACACTAAGTTACTTTACCCGTGCAGCTGGTAGCAAAGATTACAGTGTCATCATTGAAAGAGAAGAAGAGACTCATAGAAAGCCAACTTGGTGGCCTGGAAGCCACTGTGTTTCTGCCACAGCAGGGATCAACACAATACTTAATTCCCCGTCTTCATAAATAATTTGGCTTTGTTAAGATCAAATGTATAAGAAAACTCATGCCATTCTCTTCCTCTGGTACACAGATAAAACCCACCTCTTTCTCAGGAGAAGAACCAAATGTCCTGTCAGCTCCCTGAAGTGTCTTCCTGGTTAGCCATTAATACCAAAAAACTGCAAACTTCCTGGTTGGATGGGAGACAACACACAAACTGGATGTCTGTGGAATCTAGTGAGTGTCATGCCAAAATAATGCACACTTGGCCTCACTGGGCCTGTAGGCTCTGTCCTGCAGATGTCTGTTAATCCCTGTGCTGTGTGTGGCACCACCTTGCCTAGAACAGACTCCTCAGTGGCAGTGGAAGTCAAGGATCAGGGAGGTGGATTAGAGGATGCATGGGGGGTTTGAAGAGCAAAAAGTTCCAGTGACCAGTGACATCAAAGGAGCATTATGGGCATCATTTACCACAGACAAAGACACAGAAAGATGTACTTTGAAAAAAAAAAAAGGTGCAGTACATACCGGTCTGCCATGAATGCCTTCATAATACAGCAAAGCTTTTTGAAGAGCCACTTTTTCAGCTGCTATCTGATCTCTTGTCATGTCCTATGAAATTTGGCACAGAGAGAGAGGAGGAGGAAGAAGAAAACAAAGTCAGATTCCTGGACTCAAACAATACTGATCTGTGGTATAATCAAAGTCATGTCATATTGTCATGAAAGTTTTGAAGATTCCAGCTATATTGCCAAGGAGACTGTGAGTAGAACCCTACATACAATGCAGGCAGATTAAAAACATGTAATTTTTGCATATGAAGATATTTTTTAAGGGGGATTTATTGATTATCAGTGTGCTTTGAAAAAACAAGCTATGCAACTTTCGATGATTGTGGCTCTTTTTCGGTTAAGATCTGCAGTGAAAATTCTACAACAGAACACATTTCCTTTCTTTTTCTATAAATTTGAGACAAGCTCCAATACCTCTTGCAAAACTTGACACCTTTGCTTTGACTGCCACAAATACACTTTACCAAGAGCTGAAGTGCAGTCAGATCATCTCCTTTTGCCAATTCTGCCATGCAGTGAAAAGCTGTGGCAGACAGACTGAGGGGACAAAGCCAAAAAAATAAAAGGCAGACAGACAGACAGACTTCTCTAAGTTGGCCAGAGCCCTCCCACTGAACTTACCTGACTCCACACCTTCTCTCCCTATCACAGCACCAAATACTGTTAACAGGTCCTCTACAAACAGCCTGGTCTGGATTCTTGCTACAGTCAGAAATAGCCAAACACACACACTATGTGCAAGTTCTTCTTCTTCAGATCTATTAAACAAAGATAATGCTGTCTGCCTCACTCTTACAAACCACTGCACAATTTACATGTCAGCAGACTCAAGGACTTCACTTACAAGGCTGCCCAAACCTCAGGAGCATTCAACATCAGACACAAAGACCTCCCTGCTGATAACCCTCAGAGATTACAGCAGCTAACAGAGCTCCATGTGAAACTCTGAAGGATAGTGATAAAATACCCTGAGAGAATAGCATTCAGCTTTGAAATAAATAGAAGCTAACAGATGACACAATCTCCAGAATCAGTGCAAGACTCAGAATTTGCCAGAAGCCTTTGGATGTCACAACAGAAATAGCCAAATGCAGGGCAGGAAATATTGCAATAATTCAGAAACATTGCTCAGAATATACAACGGTCAGACAAAGAACATACGATGACATTCAAAAGAAACTGAGCTCTGGAAAAAAATCAGATACTAAGGGGCAGAGGGAAAGAAACTAAAGCAAGTGAGCCCAGAGTAAAGATTGTAGACTTTTAAACAAAAAGGAAGACCACAGTGCTCTCACAAGTGACTGTGCAGCCACAAGTTACCTACTTGTACTTAAAGACCTAAACCTGATTTGTCTACGTCATACCTTAATATCTTCAGGTCGATTTGTCTCTGCTCGTTTTTCTTGAAGCTTCTTCTGGATAGAGTCAAGGGTTACTTCCACAGCAGGCTTGGCAGATTTATCTGACAGGTCTTGCTTCTTGTCATCATCCTTTTCCAGCTGAGAGCCGAAGCTCTTGGGAAGCGTGTTGCTTCGCTGACGCACAACAGGGCCAAGGTCTTCCTCCGATATCTTCAGTTTTGACTCTAAACAGGGACATTGGAAGATGCGTAATTTGTCCTTTTTAAAATGTGACAGTGACAGGATCGCTACCTCACATCAAATCTAAATGAGTCAGAGTTGAGCCGCCCCCCAAAGGTGCACCAGTGGCGGTTGCTCACCTTTAAGCTGCTTTCGGAATTTGGCCAAATCATTTGTCCATTTGAGCACTTCGGGGTTGGCTGCTTTGTCACTGTGGGAAGGCTGAGAGGAAAGAAGAATCATGCTGAATCTGTGTTAAACCAACAGGAGAGACTCACTGAAACAAGTGTGTGGGACAAAGAGGTACAACAGAACTTGGATCCAGCACAGAGCACAGTCACTGTTTTCTGACTGGCACCTGAACACTTCTGACCAGCTCATTTCAGACCTTGTTTTAATTGCTCCTGCCCTTCACAACACTGTCTTAGGGGCATCACGAAATTGATTTTCTTTTTAGAAAACACAAAACATTTGACGGCAACAATTGAGTTGTAGAAGTGGCTCAGAGGGCCAGATGCACATTGGAATCCTTGTGTCTATTGTTTTGTAACAAGAGGGAACCTCCAAAATAGGAAACCTAACATGAACAGTTTGAAAAGTATTAGGATACATGTATCCACACCAAAGGCTGCCTTATATCCAAAGACAACAAAATAACCTAAATGCTAGGCTACAGCAAACTCTGAGCATTTCTTCCAGCCTTTTTTACTGCAGGCAAGATCCTTTCAGTACAATTCTTTGTACTTCAATCTCCAACAAAGATACACACATGCAAAGCTTTGGTTCCTTAAAAAGCTTTCTGTGCATCGGAAGGGCATGTCAGGAACAATTAGAGTACAGTCCACTACTACTGCTCAGCAGAAGACTGTGGTTCCTTGCTCAGGAGTGAAGGCAGCTGTTCTCTCTCCTCTGCAATGCACAGGTGTCCTGGGATTACCACAATGCAAATGAGATGTGCAAATGTGCTTTCCATAAGCTGAACTTAAATAAGTAAACAAACAGAAGTTTAACATAGCTATTCCTATACACCGTCTTAAGCAGAGATCAAAATCCTATGAGTTTATTAGACTCTCTCTCTTGTGCTGCACTGATAGTACATAATGCCTGGAAAGGTAATTTGCTTGGTATGGATACACATTTTTTTAGGGGCAGCAGCTTTGTTAATTTCTTCTTTTTTTTTCCTCCTTATAAAAGCTTTCAAGCCCTCTGTTATGTTTGACACATTTCCCTGATGTCCCTTCCCTTTGTTGTTAATTCATATATCTCCACATAAATGCTTAACTCCTAGAAACTCACTCTGTATTTCCTCTCCTCTTCAAATTTGTCCTCAAATCTCCTGATCTTTTTCTTCAGTCCCTGAATCCTCCGGGTGAGTTGTGCAGGGGTAAGGTCTTCTCTGTCATCTTCATAAGATCCCAAGGATGAACTCCGCCTCCTACCAAGAACAGAGATTGCAGGAAGAGCTTATCCAAACAGCCACAGTACATCTCGATGCAGAGAACGGCATTTAAACTTTGGGTAAATAAAGGCAAAGCCCAGAAAGTAAGAATGCTATGTTGCTACTCTGTAATGACAGATAGCAAAAGATGCTCTAACAGCCTCTTTCAGTAGCAGCAACTCCCTAGATATAAATTTACAAACCCAGAAATGATTAGCTACCAAGAACTTTCATAAAAACAACAGTTTCCTGTGAGCAGGAAAAGAAACACAACACAGCACAGCTATATGATGTATATGATACGATAACATATGAGGATGTTGCTTGATGCAGCTGGGAGGGAGGGTCAGCACAGGCAAATCACCACCCACCTCATGAAGGAATGAGAATTGGGAGGAGAAGGAGGCACTTCTGTATCATCCAGGTACTGCTGGCTCTGTCCATAGGCATAGAAGCGAGGGGACAGCATAGGATCGCTGTCCTCATCCAGCAGCTGGCGAATTAAGCGCCCAGCCTGCGGGGAAAGGCGAGCCTCATCTGAGTCTAAGCCGTCTCGCTGCCATGAGGAAAGAGCAGGGATGGGCTCTGGGAACAGTAAGACAAAGGCTGGTTTTATTGTTTTTGTTTTACATGTAAGACAAGACTCCAGGTAACTTTTCTAATGAACCTTGACCCATTTGTCCTGGACCATGACTCCTTGCCACCAGGCATTCTCCGGTCATTACTCGCATCTGCCCTGTGTGCGAAGCAATACAAAGCACTGCCTGACCACATGGGCACCCTACACAAACGTAAGTAATCTCTTAGATGCAACAGAAAACTGTGCCCAAAAGATGATCAGGTATTACCACAGACTGACTCTAAACAAGGCTATCACCAGGTAACACCTTTGACTAAAATGTTATGCTGGACAGAGAGAATTATTGGAACACGTTAGTACAAAAGAGGCAACTGGATTACAAAAGGATATTTTTTCAGTTTCAGGATGTACAAATACTGTAAATGAGTAGGTCTTCCTGTAGCCTCCAGCTCTCCAGTGCAACCCGGTCACCTGCTACTGGAAATTCAAAGCCTCGGAGTAAACATAGGTTCTTCTAGTCTGCAAGCAAAAGGTGTCTGGCACTACTACCTGTTCCACAGGGTGCCTAGCCCATAAATTAACAATTATGGTAATATGGTCCCAATTTCCCCTTATCTCTTTCACATGCAATCCTGCTGCTTAACAGCATAGTACAAAAGGGAGGAAATTCTCAGTCCCCTGGATTACATAACCAGCTAGAAGTAAAAGCAATGTTGTACAGGGAGATGGAAGTGGGAAAGGGAAACCCAACTTAGCATTGCTGATTAGCATAATAGAGCCCATGGAAAGCAATCGCCTCAATCTTGTGATCACTCCCTCCAGATGCCATAAGGAGTCCAACATTTTGTGTTCAGATAGTTTACTAAGCTGATTTGCATGCTCCTACTTAAACTGTCTAATCCTGTGGTGCTAAGAGCCAGGCTTTGAACTTATAAATCTAACAAACAGTTCTAGAGTCAAGTAACAAAACAAAAATCTTATAGAAAGCTCCCAGATCAGTCGCAGAGCTATGGACTAACTGTTTCCTGTGCCTAGTGTGTCTTTTCTCCATTCACAAAGACAAGGGGCTTTAGAAGTTATCAATTTATGAAAAAAACCCAGTTATTTCCTTTTCCTGAACAAGGATAACATTTTCACAGCTCAGAGTGGATTGCACAAGGACTCCCCTGCAGAACCTCGGTGCTGTTTAATATTCCCCCTCTGTACAATTTGGGCAGTGTGAGATCATCCCCAATGCAGTAATGACAGGCTCAGTGGTTTTTTGCCCATACGCATCTTCACGATGCTCTGCTCTCCTCCTTTTCTCTTCTTCCTTAGCACATGAATATAAATGGCATGCCCCTGCTTAGAGGCTGGTGCTGCATTCACATTGATGGTTACCCTGGAAGGGATGGCAGGGGGTTTTTGTATAAGAGCTTCTTGAAGGTGTTGTGATAAGAGAAGCACATACAAGCCTGGCTCACAGATGTTACTTCCATGAGGTGTGCAAGTCCGAAGTGCATGTAGAATCAGAAAGCTTATGCAGCCTGCAATTCTCTTAGGTAATTTCTGGAAAAAGAGTTTTTCTAAGCACAGTTCAATCGTGGCAGTATCTAATACCTGAAATATTTTGCACCCACTTCCCTGAATCTCTTATGATTTTGGGAAGGATCTCACAAGATCTCTTGTAGCAAAATAAAGGGTAATAATACAAAAGGAAAAAAATTGATACATTTGACTTGCAGGAATGAGAGTTACATGATGCATGGGATTCTTCTAGACATCTCTCCCTTTTAGTTCTTTGAATACGCTCTCACCCCCAAGCAGAACTTGCTCTTGGAAATTGTTAAATAACACCTTCATGGGATTTACATAGATAGAATAAATTAGAAGAAATCAGCAGCATATTTAGCAGTAACCAAATTAAGCTCCTATCACACCAGCTAACAAAGCCATTATTAATCATGCATGATGCATGTGACTTTGTCCAAGGTGGATTTTTAAAGCAGATAGCATGCAACATTCAGGGAATTGCAAAGGCTCAAAGAGCCTCTGATCAAACCCCAGAAGACAACAAAGCACTTCACATAAGCTATTTGAGACTGAGGTATATATACTTTTTATTTTGTTGATTTCAAAATACTCCCCCAAAACAGAAACTCACAGTGCAAAGGAGAAAGTGTTAAAAAGGAGAAGAAAAAAGTCCTAAAAGGAAAAATCAAATTTGAGACTTGACAGAACAAATGGTTGCTATAGAAAATCAGCTGGTTTTAACCCTTGCTCTTGGAAGGCCTGACTCTATGGGTAATTTCGTTTCCCTTGCTGACCCAACATACTGAGAAGAAAAAAACTCATCTACACACAAAACAGCTAGACTCCCAGAGAGTAACACAGCAATTAATCAAGGAATATATGTAGGTATATAGAATTATGGATTTTATCTACATCAGATCACAAAGTAGACCAGAGCTGTAGTCCAACTGCCTTCTCTCTTCTTCTGGCCAGGTGCCAGGTGCTTCAGCTGGAAGCACTGGAATTGCTGGATCACACAAGCATATAGGAACCCACTAAGGGTAAGCCGCCACTTTTTCTGACAGTGTACAATCAATCAATTCCTGTTTAACAGGATACATATTTTTTGTTATTCATTTATCCAAGATAGCTGTCAAAGCACTGAGCCTTTCCTGAAGGCTGTTAAGTTCCTGGACTTAATGGTTCGGGTTTGAAGTATCTGCTATCATGATTAATGTTGTCACCCTTTCCCCTTTCTGCTAACTGAAGAATAGAATCTCAGTAAAGAATGTAGATGTTTCACCTTTTCCTTGCCATTGACTTGACAGGGCAGCTACCCTTATTAATTTTCTGTCCTGAACAGATCTTTCTTGCTCAGGGAAAACTCTTGGTTTTCTACCCATCTCCACATTCTTTCCACGTGCTTTTCCCCCCCCTCTTTTCCCTAATGAAAACTTTTCATAAAAAAAAACAAAAGGGAATATCTAGCCACTGTAGCTGTACCAGTGCAGAGAAAGGGTGAAAAATTTTTTTATTTCTTGGTCAGATTCTCAAGGCATTTCTTTCAGGTCTGCCTTTTCTAAGCTGGCACAGAAGCAGTGAGCTATGCTGGTATTGAGCCTGCAGTCCTTCAGAAGCGCTGCACTCCCTCTCAAAATCCCACAAAACCAGCTAATCTTTCAACAAAGCTGTCAGCCATCTGCCAGGTGTGGCTCTGCAGAACTCTGTAGACACATTATAGCAATATAACCTCTCTGCAAACCTGCTGCATAGAGGGCTGGAGATATTAATAAATCTGTAAAATGCAAGAAGGAAGAAAGATTTATTGTATCACACTGGTGTATTACTAGTGAGCTCCAAGCCCTCTTGCTGACAAAAACATGTCTTTTTTTATAATTACACTGTATATTTGCCACAGGGTTACTGGGGGTTGCAGGGCCAACAGAGGGGTGTCCACACACAAATACCACCTGAGGTGCAGCCAGCAAAATGCCATAGGCATCTCCTGTTTCCCTCTCTGCAGCCACACAGCTGATGCCTGCTGCTAACTGCTTTTACACACACCCAGCTATCAAACAAAGGAGGCCAAACCTTAGCTGCTGTAAACTGAAGTAGGTCCATAGGGATTAAGAAGTCTAAACTCATTACAACACCTGAGGTCCTAGCATCAAAATGCCACTTGAAAGAGTCCAGAAAGACCTCTTACAATGAAATGAATAAAGCAATTTAAAACTCTATCCAAAGCATTCACTAGCTCAGTAACAACCTATTTTTTTCATCTTAAAAATAACTGTATGGAAATATCCTTGTTTGAATACATCAGGAGGTATTCTTCCTACGCAGATCAAAAGAATGGCCCAAATACAGCACTGCCATGCCTATTCAGTTAGTGAGATGACACATCTCTCAGCTAGCAAGCAAACTTTAACAATCAAAACCACATTTTTAATATATTGATGCTATAAAATAAATTCAGTAAACAATGCAATTATTTTTTCTACAGTTAGTAATAAAAATGAAATGTGCTTCGTTACTGATTTACCTTATGCTAAAGACTGTTACACGCAAATACATTGATCAGTCTAAGTTCACAGTGCTAAAAAAAAAGAAAACTAAATGCAGCTTCCCTTTTGCTACACTATTTGGATATTTTTGCATTCCTTTGGGTTTTTTTCATGGGAAAGTATCAACTAAGTCAATGGTAAAACTATTTGTAGATCAGCTTCACCCTCAGGGTCTAAGTGCTGCAATACTTGAGTTCTCAACACTGAGAACTCTAATTGTGTTTTTGCATTTTAAACTTCTGCTTTTTTTTTAAGCTTGATAGTTTGCAGAAAAATGTCTGTTGATTATTCCTTAAGTGCTTGTTACTGCAAACTCTGCTTGAAATCTCAGCTACAGAACTTTTTTTAAAGCATCGGTAATCAGGTGACATCGGCAGCAATCACACACATCATACTGATCCACTGAACTGCCTGCTCAGCCCAATCTGCTGACAAGGCCAGCCACTGTTCCGAAGAGCAACATACTTCCAGATTTTCCTCGAGGACAGGATAGCAAGTTCTGGGCTTGAATTAGAAACATTTGGTAAGAAATCTGCACAATAGCTCTGGACTGTGAGAGAACACTCTGTACTCCTCAGTCACAGCACCCAATTCAAACATAATCCACAACAATTAGAAACCTTTGCTATGGAAGCAGCTCTGAAAATGCTTGCTTACAAAGCCATCTCAGCTGGCACTGACTGACCAGTTTAGCAGGCAAACCCAGCAGTCAGATATCCCAGTTCACAGAGACACCTCGGTTCACACCCAGCACGAGAACAAAACTACCTGATTTGCACCTGTTAGATGCACACTCGGAAACTACTTCTGGACCATGGAAATGCACCTAGGCTAAGAGTTCAGGTCTTGAATTTGGCTGGGGCACTGCTCACGCCTTGCCTACTACAGCAATAGCCTGATGATTACTACACATATGCCTCTATACATAGCAGGCAAGGGGGACACAGAAGGTGGGCATGTGGTGGAGTGTGAGCCTATGCATTGCGGGATGCAAATTTCTCTGACCTGTCTCTGCTCAGCTTTAGGTAAAGGGAACACAGTTTGGAGAAGTACAGCAAATCTCTCCTCTTGTGTAGAGTTTTGACTATGTGGGAAGCCTTATGGGAAAGAAAAATCTGGTAAAAATTACTTCTAGCATAACATAAAAGGCATGGGACTCTGCCAGCTCACCTGGTAGCAACTATCAGAGTTCTGTGCCCCTGAATGAGGGTTTTTATGGCAGCTCTGGTCTTAACACGATGGAGAGCCTGCTTGACTGACAAATAAAACCTAGTCAACGGACAACGTTGTCTTGTGTAATTTTGTGCCCATTTTTCAAGGCTTTTTCCTAACACTCGAGGCAGTGACAGCTACAGCCAAAGGCAACCCCTCAACCTGTAACTGTTCTCACAAGTCACTTGTGAAAGTCCCAGCAGTTGCCCTTGTCCTTAGATGCTCTGTATCTCCTGTAGTATGATACAGAGGACCTTGTCCTCAAAAGTCAGTCAACGGTGTAATGGGTAATTTCCTGAAAGACAGACCTACCAAATTTGCTAGAGCAAAGCAATAAACAGTTCAGTGTTGCCACTTTTGAAGGCATGGTCCTTCCTCCTTTCCAATGGGGATGCAACCAGAGCTCTGGCACGGATCCTGGAGAGATGTGTGAAGGTTTGAGTGACACAGGTTGGCTGGCAGGAGGATATCCTGGCTAGAGCTGTGGATGGGTGGTACAACCGTGCCTTGCAAAGCCAGTCTCAACAACAGACTGTGCCGTTAGCTAGAGAAGTAGTCTGAGAGTTGATGTTAATACCTTCCCTTCCTGGCTGCTGCAAGCTTGATTTCACATCCACAGCAGGGAAAGATTCAGTCCCTCCTTGCTGAGATACAGAAGACACCATTTTGCTGCTATTGCATCCGCGCCAACAAAATGGTGATTCTGGAAGGCACATATTTCTGAAGATGATGTCTCTCTCACCCCCAACAGCTGATTCTTTTGCAACTGCCCACCTCCTCCTCTTGTGAAATACACATGAACAGACGGGAGGAAGGAAGAATCTGAGAGAAGCACTCTTCAAGTGCAGTCACATGTGCCCTTAATCCTGCTTCGTATTTGCAGGGCAAGAAAGCTAGAATCCAAATATAAGAGCATGCCTGCTACAAGGAAGTTGTACCAAAGATACAAGTTATTTTATACAGTGGGAAAGCCACTGGCAGACAGAAAGGAGCTGTGTTCTCTCCTTCGTGCATTCATATGACTCCTATTACTAATGCAGGATGGAAAAAAAAAGAGTCATTATTTCCAAAGGTTCACAGGATGGCTGAAGCCACACATCACCTCTGAGGACACAGACGTGCTCACCCCACCTTGAGACCCCGCAGGGCTCTGCTAATTAGCATCTCAGTAAACACAGAGTGGCCAAGGCTGCCTGGGAGCCCTTCTGAGGCTCTTTGATCAGCCATGCTGCACATGTGGTGATTCCATCTAGGGATTCCCTGCCCAGCAAGCAAATGGAAAAATTCCCTCCTGTCCAGGGTGACTAGTTGAATTCCTGGCTGAATCAAAGGCAGCCATGGCTGCGGGTTTTCTTTACTCATGCCTGAAGTGTCATAACTACTTCTGTCCTAGAAGGAAAGGCAAAACGTACTAGGTCACGTACACTGTGGAGGCAAGAGTAGAGAACTTCACTTCTCAGTGTTCCTCAGAGATTGCTTTTTTAGAGCAATGAATTAGTAGCACGTTTTCCCTCTCCTGCTTTATTAAAACACTTGCGTTTTCCTGTTTCTTCCCTGACAAAACCCATCTTTCACTCTTAAAGCATAAACTAACGGAAGAATTCTTGCTTGTACATAGAAACATTTCAGTAACTGGAAAAGGGTTTGATCCCAGAAGCACTGGACACCTTAATTTCATCTCAATTTCAAATGAAATTGAGGCTCATGGCACCCACAGAGTTTGCCCAGATTTCCCACTCTTAAAAGAGTAAGTGTAAACAGCCCACCAAGCATGCACTCTGGACATGAGACCTAAGAAACAGTATTAAAATAATTTAAATGACATACAATCAATTTAAAACTGCTACTTGAGCTGGCAAACATATTTCCTTCACAGAATACATAAAAAAAAAGTTGTTTGTAAGACAAAGTAACAGATAGACAGCTTTTTTTTCCAGCTGTGCCTTTCAGATCCAAATAATTATTTCCAAATAGTGATTGAAGAGGAAGAAATATTCCTTTTAGACTGTGAAACACTCAGTTGCTTTGAAGTACAAGACAGTCTAGCTTAAATCTCCAATGTCACCATGAAATAAGATATCCCGAAACACTCAGGGATAAAAGTGCTAAACGGAACATGAAAGTAACTTCAAGAATAAAACAATTAATTTTCTCCCTCTAAGTGACAATTAGACTTAGTACCATTTAGTATTTGCTTGCAGTTTCTCCAAACTTTCAGTTCTACATTCAGGACAAAATTGCTTTCCTGTTGTTTTTAGCATAAGAACACGATCACATAAAGATACACCCAGCCCACTCAGGTTTCCCTCTCTCTCATTTCACTCATATGACCAGCCATCACACAATCCTACCTTCCCAGTTGTTGTCATCACACAGTGAGGTTAAATCCAGCCGAGGCACTTCAGATACAAAGCTGTTTTCCTGATCATCAGCATCTTGATTTCTTTGCAACTTGTTTTCAGGCATGCTTGGATGCTCTTGAATCTTCATACTTGTAGTCAGCTATGTTCCCATACACCCAAAGAAATGAGAGAGAAAGAAAAAAAAAACGCTTCAGGATGCAGAGGAAGAAAAAAACCCCTGCAGTCACAGCAACAGTAAGCTCATGCCTTTAGCTAATAGGATCCAAACAAACAGTCCCTGATGTTTCCAGCTCCAAATCCAAATCCCCTGCCTGGTGACCCCTATGTACTAATTGCTCACTCACACCAGTTAAGACATCTGTCCATCTGCCTTCCTTGAATTTCTCCTTCTTTAGAAAGCCACTGGAAGTTCTCGAGACTGCCTGCCCTGACAACTGCATGCAGCTGAAAAAGCCTCCAGTAATGGATTGGGATGAAAAGGGAGGGAGGGAGGGAGGCAGGGAGAAAGGGAGAGGGAGGGGGTGGCTGCGTACACTTCCAACAGGAGCGCAACTCCTTCGAGCAACAACAGAACCGCTGCTGCTGTTGTGAGGCTGTAGCAATATGGTGCCTTCTAAAAAGCAGGCACCAGAGCTCCTGAGGTAGCAGCTGCAGACAGCAAGCAGTGCAGGCTACGTACATGAATGCTCTCATGCAGGCTGTGCTGGCTCAGATCAATTAGTGCCAGCTAAGCTGTGCTGGCTGCACATTCCCTGATTTCCTGTGGTTGTTTTCTAGCTGGGCGTGGGGAGAGCAGAACTATTTATGGAGGAGCTCGGGGTATTAAAGCAGCGTTGCGCAAATCCAAACGGCAGTAGGGTTTGGCATCTCAGCTGGAAGCAGTGCGGACTCTGGGAAAAAGCCAAAAAATTCACACAAGCATCCAATGACTTAGGAATTAAAAAAAAAAAAGGTAGAATGCTGTCAAATAAATGATTCACCAGTTAGCACTACCTAGGAGCAACTGCTGTTTGTCTCACCACTATTCACCCCTGCACATACCACACGTCGTGTGCATTTATGCAGAAACCACTGCCATTCCCACAATCCAGAGACACACTGCGTGTCCGCAATAGTGCCTGACGAAACGAGTAGTTTTGTGACTCTAAAACAAATCAGCTGTAATGCCACACAGAGGGCAGCAGGGAAAAGGAACTGTAAAGCATGTAGATAAACATATAGTGTGATATGTATAAATCCACCAACAAGCACAGAGCTATCCGAATAGACAGCACTACACTACTACATAAACTAGTGGAATTTGATAAGAACAGTTTAGGCATAATTCTCTCCAACATAGTCTAGCAGGTAGTCAACATGCAGATTTTCTCCCTGCAGGTATTTTGATAATCTAGTTAGTAATCTGCATATGCTGATATGCAAAGAAAATGGACCTAAAGAAAATAACTGGTATCTCTGGACGTATTTTTCTTGTGAATCCAGAAGCACGGTCAAATGCTTCAATATCCCTAATACACACCACTAAGGCACATTTACTTTGTTTCATCTGCATAAAGTTAATGATGTGTTTATGTTTTTTTCCCTTTTGAGCAGAGAAAAACAAGTAAATTTCATGAAGAGGGGAAAGAAAACCTTGCCCAGTAGACAAATCATATGAGTAAATGTTTTAATCTTATCTGGATTCAATTCCATCAATCCGTGCAATTGAACAGGGTGCTAAATAATCTCATCTAGGCTTCCTTTCCCACAAAAGGTTGGATCAGGTGATCTTTTGAGGTCCCTTCCCACCTGGGCTGTTCTATGGTTCTAAAAATCAGGGTGATGAATACCCTGGTGTTGTAAAGAGTTTTCTGTATTTTATTTGTATGAGGTGTGTACTTCCTGTTCATTTCAATAAATCACCTTGTTGAAACAGCATAACAAAATGAAACACTAGATGACAGTTTGCCAAACACTAATAACTCGTACAGCTTGACGCTAAATCTGATTACAAATGTGTTTATTGTGAGAGTTGTACATGGAAAAATGCTAATTCACCGTTCAATATCTTTTAAGCTGCTTCCAGGTTGGGAGGACTTAAATATTTCTTTAAGGTTCAGTAACAAATTTCCTGCTAGGATCTAAACAGTCAGTGTACATTCCAAACAGAAAGACTGGTCAGTGGCCAGAAACAGGCAGTCTTCTACATTTACTAAAAGAACAAACTGTACCCGTTGATAAACTGCATATAATTTGCCAGCACAGTATTTTAAAGGCTGAAAGAAATTAAGCAGTAAGTTTCAAAACAAGTGTTATTTTTAATAACATAAAGAAGTGTGAAGAGAGGAATTTATCTAGATTAAGAATTTCAAAGAGACCAACCTGAAAATACCACTGATACTAATTGCAGAGTTAAACATCTTTTTATGAAGAGTGTACTATCTCCTGGCTTATTAAGACTCTTAAAAGATATCTTTGGCAGATATAAGAGCACTTCCCAGATGGGTAAACATTTCCATTACAGATATATTAGAAAGATCATATCCATGTCCTCATCCTTCTAAAGTCACTTGAGTTGTAGAAAACATTTAAAACGTGTTTAAAAACAGGCCTGTGCTCTGCCTGTTGCCAGTTGCTCTCCTTTCCTTGCTCACCGATGTAGCCTCTAATACAATGAATAAATCATCAGGTGTTCTGAAGAACAATGGTGGTAAAAACCCAGGAGACTCAAGAAAGCAGATGTTTAACTTCCTTTGCATTAATGTGCATTCCAAACCCTTAGAGGGGTTGATAATTCAGTGTTTCCATCACTTATTTTTCCTTTTTGATTTCCTGATGCCACAAGTTGCCAGCCTCCAGGGAAAAAAATAATGTAAGGGAGAACTACTTTGCCTTAGGTATGGATGTGCCACAATTTCTTACAAACTGAAGGGGCGGCAAGTTGATGATCTCGGTAATGCTTGGCAGCCTCAGTGCACTGCGGATATTACATAAATGACCATGAAAAAAATCTTCAAAGTAGGTACTTGAATTCTGCTTTTTAGAAGCTGCTTTTGCAGCTATACTTTGCAGGCAGCAGTAACTACAGATCTAAGTAACCTGGGCACAAGTCAGCTACTTTCATTCTCGCTGCTCCAATGGAGATTCAGCACAAAGAGTAGCTCAAGCAGCTAGAAATAAATGTCAACAGAAATGTTTTTAAATTCTGATCAGGAAGTTGTATTCTGATCAGTTACATGTGGATTCAAATTAGAAGGCTTTCTTCCCCTACATCTGATCATCCCTTACAACCACAAGCAGGAAGCATCCTCAAGCACATCTTATTAATACAACCTGATGCAGGAATGCAGCCATTCTGTTGCCTTACTTCTGAGTCATGCCAATCCCCCTCTACACTTGTTGCCATGCTGGTGTGAATCTTAAATACCCTTCCCTTGTCAAAACCTAGATACTACAAAGCTGTGCTTTTCATCCTGGAATTTAGCTACTTCCAAGGGCAGACTATGAAGGTTACAAAAGCACTGAAAATTCATTTGGGACTTGAGTTTCAAGGTATTTTTACAGCCTCATGGAGAATCAAGTTGGCACAACTGGTAACTATGGCAAATTCCAAATACCTTTCCTAATATTCTCAGACCAGAGACAGGGTGAGAAAGAGAAAGGAAGTCCCTATCCCTTCCTGATACATAATGGGTTGTTTGTTATGAAACGTATGTCTTTAAGCTTTCCTAAGCAAAAGGATTATAAGGGGGCAAGGAATGTAAAACAACTCTGCGGGAATGTAACATTTTCTTGACCCTGTAATTCCTATATAATACAGGCTCTGGGTTAAGGCTGTCCTCTCCTGCAGTTAAAATTCTACATTTTAAAACTTGTCCTAAAGAGAAGTTTATTTTAAGATTATGATTTCATACTCAAACATACCTCCACCAGGCTAATTTAAAAGCTTAATAGGAGTGTTGTGTGGCATGGCAGTAACAGCACCTCCTCCACCAGCAAGTAGATACGTGAGGAACAAGGTGTTGCAAAATCTACAGTCCGGAAAATATAACAACTCGCGAGCAAGTGCAGGATCATTGGGGATTACTGACCCTCTGGGAGCCAAGTAGGAGATCCATCTAAGCCCAGTCAGAGCAGTGATCGCAGGCAGCCCTGAACACCCTTTGCAGAGGTTACATATTTCAGGGTCCCACAAACTTCTCCAGCTACAACACAGCTGGTTAGAGCTCAGTTGTTAGCAATCTCTTCTCTTTCCTGCTAGATGGAAATAATTCCTACCAGAAACAGAGTCTTTCAAAGGCAATAAATGCATAGTGGCTTTTACTGGAAAAAAACCCCCGAACAACCACATGAGGAGTCTAGTTTACAAATATTACCAGCCTTCAGATAACTCCAGACAGCCAGAAAAAACAGACATTGGTTACAGCTGTTTTACTGTGCTCCTCTAAAATGGGTGCATAGCTGAGGGAGAGGTGCCTCAAATAACTCTCCCCAGTATTTTAAATGCTTGGCTGTCTAGAGGTGTTTCAAAGAAACCCAAATGAACAAGTGACTGCAACGGTGTTCACCCAACCCCAATCTTTGATTTGCTGAACAGTCAGATAAAAAACACCATAAAGCCAATGCAGGAGGTGTGTGTTGAAGAGAAACGGAAAGCTGGGGGAAAAACTGTTGCCATCAATGCCACACGTTCCCTCCTGACATCCATCCCAACTACCAACTCTGAGAAAGAAACAGGAGATGATCCAGTTTTCTAAAGACAAATGGATCGCAGACACCTATGTTCAAAAGCAACAGGCTGCGCTGGGAAATCATAAATAAAAGACCAAGATATTTTAGAAAAATCAAGAGAGACAAGCTGATCTTACTGCCCTGGGAGATAAGACACCCTGTTTGCTATGATTAATAAGGCAACTTCGCATCACTTAAACCAATGTGCTGACTTCAGTGATCCTTCCCTTTTTGGCAAGGAGGGATCAAAGGGACTGAAGCAGATGCTTTCAGACTACTCAGTGGTTGAGAGGCTCCCTAAATTATGTAAATAAAAAGCATAGGTAAGGGAAAGAAAAAGTACATGCTAACTCCATTTCTCTGAGAAAAACAAAATTTCACAGAACTGTACACGTAACTAACTACTTGTTTCTACTCAATAAAAGGCTCATTTAGAGACCAGAAAACTGAAACAAAACCAAAACAAAATAAAATACCAACCTGAGAATGCCTGAAAAAAACCTCATCGTTTTCACTTTCTTTGCTATAAAAAAAACAAAAACAAACCAACATATTACAAATACAAAACCAGACTGTCTTGTAACAAAAACAAGCAGGATTCCTGCACGCACACCAGGTTTTTATGTTCTTGCTATTCCTGCACCCTCGCTAATTCACACAGTAAATGAAGGGACACTCTGGGCTGCAGCATGTCAAGCTGCTAAACTATGTATTTTTGCTTCCTCTCAGAAGTTATTTGTGAAAAATAAATAATGTAATTTAATTCCAGCGCCCTTAATCCAAATCAGTACGACTTTCCCACCAAATAGGTGTCAAGAGGAATTGTCATCTCAGGGGAGCAGATTGAGGCTGTTCAGCTTTTGCAGAAGCAGAAAGAAAAGGGCCAGATTCCCAACCCAGAGGCCAGGTAAGACAGGCCCTGCAATCCTCTGTGTGGAGTATGCTGGCTCAGGTGCTTCACAGCTGACTTCTTTTCAGGTCTGCACCATCAGCACCTTCAGAGACAATCCTAACAGGCTGGGAAAAGAGTCTTGGTGGCATATGCTGCAGGGCAAAGCCCACACAACATACGCAGTGCCTCCATGAAGTTCTACTTTGAAGTTAACATGGTGGGTAATGCTGTTCTGCAGCATAACTAAATGTCACCCTCATAGTCTGTGGTGGAAGATCTCTCAGGCTTTACTACAATCACAGGGAAAGGAAAACATACATATATTAAAAAAAAAATAAAAATCACCTTTCTTCAGATAAAATTTCCATGTCATCAGGTCCTGTTCTGTCTATAGGCTTGGATGAGCTAAAGCTTTCCATACTCTGCAATACAATGTTAAAGCAGTAAGATACATATGAGAAACAGATTCAAGCTGCAGGCCATAAAACAGATCAAATATAAAAATATTAAACAGGACTTCTAGGAACAAGACAACAGACTACTGCCTGCTGCACATTTATAACAAAACAAATCCCACAATTTATTTGCACAATCTGCAAAAAACCCAACTGCTCACTGCTTGATCTCTTTCATCAGATGACCTCAAAACATCAAAACAGAATAATTCTGCACAGCACCCCGCAAGTTCCCATGTTACAGACTGACAGAGACAGCCTGAGCCTGGAAGCAGTTCTGTGGTCTGTGCAACTTCTGTAGTAGCAGGTACCAAAATCCAAGCATCTTCTCAGCAGGACTCCTTATGTTTATCTTAGAAAATACTCCACTTCTCAGCCAAATCCTCAAATCCTTCTCTAGTTTCCTCTTAAACAGGTAGAAGAATGCAAAATGACTGCCGTGTGTAAAAATATAATGTTGTACTAATATGAGTGCAGGGCAAGAAATCCAACTGGTTATGACAACTTGTTCTGATGTTTGCCTTGGCTACCATTAGGAACATTAATGCTGTTGTCCTCTAAGAGCTTGAGAAACTACTGTGAGGACAAGCCACGTTGCCACTTTGGGCACACGTCCAGGAGATTTCTACCCTGGGTTTTGGAAAAACCCCTCTTAAGTATGAGGAAGCCAGTCAGTGGCATAGTGTGGTTCTTGCCCTGGAAACTATGTGCACAGACTTTTTAGGACAGTCACAGCCCTCTCTCACCTGCTACACCTCCAGCCCCAAAAGGTGACACAGGTCAGTCATTCCAGTCTTGACTAATGTGATTCTTCAAGTCCTGCTGGTACCTGGCTACTGTGTCTTTGAAACGCAGTTACAAGCTTTTAATGCTTTGTGGTTGGTTTGCTTGGGAGAGTAAGTGGAACTGACAGCTCTTCCACTGCTGACTTACACTTTTGAGTCAGATGCAATCAGGCAGCTAAGAGGAAAGCTTCCACGCACTGTCCTACATACTCTTTCAGGCTTGGAAAAGAAGGAAGGCTCAGAAAAAGGTAGTTAAGGAGATACAACATCAAAAACTTGCTCACATGACCAAGGCCTATTAGTAAATGCTAAGGTGCAGGTTATGCCCTTTCGTACTTCAAGTTGGCAGTTTAATTTGGGTTATTATTTGAAGCATAATGGTGTAGCCAAAAGAGAGCTAAACCACCATGCATCTTTCTGGCAGTCTCTGAAATGCAAGTATGTAATAAGCACACACATTAAAACTTAAAAAGCAGCTTTTGCTCTTCCAAAAGAGTAGCACCAAGCTCTCTGCAAGCTGTTTCATAACAATATTCCCAGTTGACAATCCCACTGTGACATTTCCTCTAGCAGACCAAGCAAGAACCATGCTGATGATCATCGTGGTCAAACTGCTTTTAGTACAAGGTTAGTTCATTTTACACTCCTTTCAGACTTTGCCCCTCAAGAGATCAAAAAATGAGAGGCAGGGCAACGTCCAGTGGATACAGGTAAGTTTGAGGACATTTCTTCTGGGCATGTTTTAAGGTTTCATGAATGTTTTTCAGATCCACACCAAAAGCAGACATTTCTGTCAGTCTTTCCTTTCCTAAATCCTAAGACAAATTCTCATTTACATTTAAACTGCTTTACACTCCACAGGCAGAGAAGAGGTGCCGAAAAGAGGATAAGCACTAGACCTCTGCCTATCAATATCCATTGCTACAAGCAAAGACTCCAAGTGTGAATGTGTCTATCTCACTCTGCTTTCATGAAGTATCTCCTGAGAAGGTTACTGATACTGAACATTAAATCTAAGTTACTAAACTGAGCACGGTGTACAATTTTTGGCACCTTGCCTTCTTTTTATTGTGAAGATAAGCGAAATCCACCTCTCTCTAGAATCTCTGCACGGAGTAAGAGCATCAAATCATTGCAATCTTATGATCTAAACAAAATGAGTCCAAACACAATGTCACGGTAAGAACTCACTTGCTCGCAGCACGATCTAAAACTTAATCAAACACAACTGAAGGAAATGCCCTATAGCTCAGGACAGTCTTTTCACACAGCTTTTGCTGTTACTATTAACCCTGTAATGCATGCTCAGTGCCAGGCCCTGGGATGTACAGCACCTCTGCCACTGTACGCAGACCCTGCATGAAGCACAGGACAGTTTCTCACCTGCTGATACTCTAATCGGTGTTTGGTTTGGTTGAGAGGGAAGAAGGGTGCATCAGTTTTATTCTACAGCTTGTAAAAATTGGCAAATTGTCTTCTACTGTGGAGATTACACATGAATATGCCAGAAAAATTCTACACTATTCCAGATTTTTACGACGTTATATCAAAGTCATTCACGTCTTCATTAAAAAGTAGCTAGAGGGATCACCTTTTGGACCAACACTCTCCAAACTGCTTTGCAAATTGCAAACACCACAGTAACACACAGACTTCTGGGAAAAGACATAAAACACCTTTGTCATCTCATTATCAAGTAGTCACTTGAAATCTAGTTTCGGAGCTTAGAAGGAACATAAAAATAAACTTGACCTGAACATGAGAACCTACATCTAAGGTTCCAACCTCCCTGTAAGACTTCTGAAAGACTGGGAAAAAGACTTATTTCCTTTTCTGCTTTCCAAAATGCTTCACTGAATTCAAAAGAAAAAAAAAGCAAGAAGTTGTGGAAAGAGAAAATGACTACAGGTGGAGTGAGAGGGTCATAGCAGAAATATAGCTTTTCAGTTGCCTTATCACAAAGGTTACAAGTGTAGGATCCAGTGTTTCCATAGTTCAAAACAGCCATTTATGCCTGTACTGCAGGCAAAAAAAAAGGCTTCCTAAAAGAACAAGTTGTGCACTGAAATAAAAAAGTCTTTTACCCTAGTAAAAGTAACAGGTGTCAAATAGTACAGCATGCTGGCTTACCACAGGACTGTCCTGGTTGTCATTGAGCTCTGAAAGCCTGGTGCTAGATTTCTGCCGCTTTGATTTATTCCTTTCACTGAGATATCCAGAGCTGGCGTCTTGTAATTTTTCTACTTCTTGAGCAGCTAGAATACAGTCCTCAAGATTGCTGAATCCAGAGGGAATGTTTTCTTTGTTGACAACTTCCCTAAAAAGAAAAGGGACATTACAACAAGAGGTTGTTTAAAACGCTCTTCTGCTATATTTACAGTACCAAGAGAGAACTGCATCATGCTGACTAGTTCTGGCAACATCTTCTATGCCCTATGAAACCAGTATCTCTGGTTCTTCCCAATGCAGCAAAAATCACACACTGTGCAATGCTAAATCCCACTGGGGAGTGAAAGCCAAGTGTATACACCTCAGGTGAGAAAGCTGTGAGGATCAACGTTTGAGATTTGATTCACTTCCCACTAAACCCAACACAGAAAATCCCATTGACTTCAGATGGAAGGTAGACTAGCCTGTGGCTGTCTGTGGTATTTTTATAGAGAATATGCAGCATATTTTCCTTTGAGACACGTGCTTTTAATTTAGAAAAGTGATTCACAGCTGTGGTCCAAGGATCTCCTTTGGTGCATGACACCACATAATTGTGTCCTTCTTACTCATACTCTCAAATGTAAGAGCAGGACTGTAGTGCTTTAGCCAAATCCTTGAATCTTATTTGGGAATTACACAAAACATAAATGTATCTTTGCAATGGCAACACAACTGCTAGGACAGAGGACTGCTCTGCTAAGGGAAGGGAAGTGGACAGCTAGCCTTAAGCCACCACGTGATGCATTAGCAGGGACCCTCTGGGCTGGTGGGGTTTGCTCATGTTTTCCAGAAGCTTGGCATATGGCTTGTCTTGCCGTGCATAATTAACCTGCTGGGTCTTCAGCATGCAGCTTTCCATTCACAACCTGTTTAGTACTCTTCCCTCTAATTTGTCCAAGAGTGAAGATGCACATACATAACACATCACTACATTAGGGGAACAGAAGAAACACAGTGTGCCTCATTCATCACTGTATTACCCTGCCAGAGGCTAAAGGCAGCCTGCTTACACTTGACATTGAAACTGGAATATTTGCTGACTGTTGTATGTGTTACTGCCATGTGGCTCCAAAACCTGCTTCTACGAACAGCAGGAGAATTTATCTAGTCTTGCACTGGTGAAGAAACACAAGAAACCAGTTACTCTGCAGTATCTGGACAGTGCCAGCATGACAAGTATTCAGAACAAAAGCAAAACCAGAAGGCTCCAGTGACTTTCTGTATCACAGTTCTCTAGTTTTTGTTGGTGGAAAAGAGATACAAAGAGGTATTATAAATCTCTGATTAAACTTCTAAGATAACACATTTGCCTTTGTGGAAATTTTTATAAACCCCTGAGCAGACCAATTACATATAGAGAGCCCATGGATCACGTAACCTTCAAAGCCTGGGAGTTCACCTATGTGTTTTTGTAATAAACACTTTTCCTGTCTGTAGTCCTATTACAAATCCTCTTGTGATCCATCACAAGGCAAAGAGATGAAGTCGCTGACAATCAGAACAACCACCACAGAAAGAAATTCCCAATTTTGATAATTTACCCAAAGGAGTCCCAGCAATCTGACCTAAGGAAACTGGGGAAAACAATTTGAATCCCGGCCAGCATTCAAAACTTCCAATGTGCTTTAAATTCTTGTCTCCAGCTTTAAGAACTGAACCTGAATAACTGTGTCAATCATATCTAAAGGCAGCTCTGTAACGCAATGTTGAAAAAAAGCCCCGCAGTACTATACGCTTCCAAACACGTACACTAGCCAGTCTGTGACCTACTTACCTGAGAAGCCTGTCAGCAGGGCGACTAAACAAGAAAAACTACTTTAGAGCTGCTGTCAGATACTTTGGTGACTTGCAAGTGCTAATTTCCCAGTCCATCTTCGCAGCACATTTTCATTCTCTAAGGAAATGGCTTTTTTTTTTTTTTTGGGTAACTGTAGATTTTTTTTTACAACAGTAGCATTGACACATTTTGGGAAATACCACTGCTGCAATATTAACATGAGGTATTGATGGCTATGCACCTGAACAGAAGTGGTGTTGTACAGAATGGTGCAGATCCAATAGGATTTGGAGAATTCAGTATTCAGGAAAAACAGAGGACTAGATGTTTATTTGGAATCTAACTTGATATCCTAGCAATTCAATACTGCAGTGAAGCACACACATTCTTTACAAGAACTGGTGCTGGGTTAAAGCTAGACATATGGGTAAGCACTGATCAGAACATGGCCTTGCAAAGTCTGTAGTTACAATTCCTCAAACACAGATATGCCTTGGGCAAGTGTTTAAGGCTGTGGTGGTAATATATTTGTATCACATAATATGTGCCACAAGTAGAGGAGTATGAAAGGAAAAAATAGGTACTATCTTTATTCTTTCACAGACATTTAATGAAATTCACCACAAGATCATGTTTAAACTTTGTGTAATAGGGTGCATAAAAAAAAAATTCCGATTAATCAAAAGGAAGATTTTTCTAATTTTAGACAAACTCCCAAATTTCCTCACTAAGTCCAAACACAAGCTGTGCCTTCATACACAAAAGGAGAACTTAATCTTGTTTTTGAAGCCATTCTGAATTCAGAAAAGCAGCTAAGCCCAATGTTAAAAAAAAAGTTACCGGCGATAGAGCCAACTGCTTGGGAATTTCCACTAATGTAACAAATACTGCAAGTAACCAATTCCCAATACTGTAATTAAAAACTTTACTGCATAACCCCCCTAGATTCTTATCGTGCTTTGCCCCACTCCATGATCTCCAATAAACTCTAAATTTCCCAGCTCTAACTGATGCAATGGAGCTCTGCACAGGCACTGCAGCCTGCTCTGCCCTTTCAACTCATGGCAAAGGCCAGTGCATTTCATAATAGAATGTAGTATCGCCTTGATAAGAGGACATGACTAGGGTAGACTTAACCAAATATACTTTCCAAAACAAAGAAATCAGGCTCATACATGTCTCTGTTTCTCCGGGGTTCCTCCTGCTCTTTGTGGTGCCGCCTCCTCTGCCTGGCAGACACATTTGAAGAGGCTGAAGATGTTCCCGATTCAGAGTCCTCTGAACTCTGGCTGCCTGAGCCATGAACATCAAAAAGATGCTGCTCCACGGCTGAGCGGATTGTCTTCTCTAAATACCTGTCAAGCCGAAAAATAAGGTCAATTGAGCTCAAAGACTTTGCGGAGCTCCCTCTCTGCAACAATAAATAAAGCAAGGGTATCTGCGGGCTATATTTTTTTTATGATGGCAAAGCAGCACAAAATGTCCTAGGGCTACAACATATGCAAAAAGCAAAGCCAAAATCTTCAGATACCCTGCAGTTCAGGTCCCTCAGAAGAGCTGAGCCTTCCCAATTAATCTTGCTCTTTTTTATTTCTAGGGATGTTTGAACCTTCTGTAGAACATCTAATTTTACCTACTGCAACTACAGACATTGGTGTCTAACTTTCACCCTCCACTTTAAAAGTCCTTGGCCTGACAAAATTGTATATGATCCCCAGCCATGCTGACACTGGTCAAGCCTGTTGTGCAGTACAAGCTCAGCAAGGCAATGGATCACCTGCAAGAAGATGATTCACTGCTGTCTCACACAGGGATGAGAGTATGCAAGCAGTAGCTCACTACAAACTCCTAACATGTTTAACTTTGTGACCAAGCATGGATTTTGTTCTGAATTCGTTCTGTTTTCACACATTCTTGTGCCATGAACGCACCCAAAGCCATCCCTGATGTACTCTGGTGAGAGATCACAGTCACACCCAGGGGCAGCAAGAGAGCTTCCACACAAACCACAGCAAAGGATCCTCTGCAGTTGCATCGCTTAAAGATGTGGAATTACCTGAACTTTCAACACAACCAAATCTCCTTCATTTTGGTACTCATATTTGCTTGTAATATTCCCTTCCATCCTTCATCAGAGGAAGCTTTTAGGGGCAAAATCTAATTTTTTGTTGTTGTTTTTGCAAAGAGATCACATAGAAACACATTTTTTTTACATCCCCATCCCATCTCTGTTTCTTGCAATGCTTAAGTAGTCTGCTGAAGAATGGGTTTTTCAAACATGCTCGTCCAAAGTCCCTGTATAGCTTCTACTGGGTTGTTTTCATAATTAAAACGTTATTTCAGGATTTGCTGGTTAATTTTTAACTGAGTGGATAGAGCATGGGATCCTGTACTTGGGTTGACTTCCCCTTTACAGAAGTTGTGTTCAGTTGCTATACTTGAAAGTCTGCTGAGACTGCAGTTCCCCAAAAAAGTCAAAATACCTTGGCAACTGCAAACTCCCACATGGTTTAACTAGCCAAGTACGCCTGTAGTTCACTATTGACACAAATCAGTTCTGCAAACCCATCAGCCGTTGGGAATTTCCAGCTCTGGTAAAAGAGCCAACTCGTAGTTCTGCTGCTCCCAGTTATGGTAGTGGGGTCAAGTCACATCCTCTGTTGAGATGCAACAGGGAGCCAACAAGAGCAAGAGGATAACACAGTGCAAATAGCTTCTCTAAATATGCAAGTTTTGCATAACCAAAACATCGCAGGCACAGTGCGAGCAAAGAACCAAGGGCCTGAGAATTTTTCAGAAGGAAGTGATTTATTATCATTGCAGATGATCTGCTTTGCTGGGAAACTGGCTCTTTTTTTTTTGTTAATATAAGACAAACCCTTAAGGAGAAATCAAAGAATAACCAGTGATACTTAAAAAAGCTCCAATGCGCAAGAAGGATAGCTACAAAATTGCAAGAGACACTTACTCTCCTGTAGCAGGAATGTTGCTACTGACTTGTGATACATGGGCACTGCATAAAAGAAAAAAGAGAAGAAAGTTAGATCTTATCATCACAATAAGGTTTTGAAAACTCTTGTTCTTTGCAGCGCTAAGACTTAAAGGTATGAGCTGTCTCAACAACAACTGCCTGCGCACACCACTAGTTTTCCCCTTAAGGGATTTTCTCTCCCACTGTGAAATGGCACATTTTGACAATGCCAATATTCTCAAGAATTAATTTCCCTGTCATTCCCGTGCATTAGGCCAAGGTCTAACAAAGTATTTCAACCTCAACACACCGCAGATTTTTTCTGCTTTCTTCTGAGCTTTCTGCTGCTGCCAACTGTTTTAGCCTCATCACAAAAGTCCTTGTCTTTTGAGGCTGACTTGAAAATGTATATACACTTAATATTTAACTGCTCTCTGATATTCACGTTCTTTGCTTCACATTTTAAAAAAATAAAACCTACATTCTCTTCTTTCCCTTTTATCTTGGGCTGTTTTCAGGCTCAGAAAAAGCCAACACAAATGTGGTCAAATGGAGTAACTGCTTGCTGTTTAAAGTCCTTCTGAACAAGTTGACCTGTCACCTGGCACAGCTGTCACTGCCTTCCTCCCTCTGCCAAGCTGAGTCCCATCCTGCCTCCTTTTCCCCCACACTGACTCAGCTTTGCAGCTAAAGTGATTTTTTTGCCTATTCATCCCTCCTGTTAGGTCCTGTTAGGTCCTGTTGACCTCCGTTAGGTCAAATAAGCTACAAGCCTAGGAGTTCATTTCAAATTATCCCCACATCAACACAGGAATTAGTACAACTGACTGATATATCCCAATAAAATGGCATTGTGGTCAGGGTATATGAGCCAGGATAGATGCAAAAGGTGTTTCCTGCCAAAATAGCCATTTATTGCTTTCAGTCTTCACCAATTCCTCTTAAACCTTTCCAGTGCAGACCCATCAACAGCTGACTTCCCTTCACTACCCAAAGGTTTCCTCTGTTCCTCAAATGTTGTGCACTTCACTGTATGGGCCTAGAGTTATCTAAGAAGCTGCAACACTCAGATAACCACTCTAGCAGGCAACAGACGATAGAAGGGGTAAGCAAGGAGTCACTACAGTTATCAACAAAACAGACCGACTCCCGATTTACAAACCCCACAAACACCCAGCTCCAAATCAGACTTGCAATACGCTTCAGCTTCCTTAGGCTGAACCAGTGTGTTCAGCTCCATGTGGGTTAAGCAACGTGCCCTAACCACACACTCATCCTTTACAGTCCCAGCTTCACTCAGTACACCTCTCCAGTCCAGGCACAGGTCCCTGGAGTGGTGGTATACCAGGAAAGCAGTCATGGACTTGCCAGTATATCCCACGTGACCTGCACAGCACCAAAGCAGCTGCGTCATTCATACGATTTCATGAATAGAAGACATACAAACAAGTACTACTGTATTTATTAGTACGGACACACAATCTGCATATAGGAAACAAAAAATTTGCACGATTCCTCTCTTCCCACATCTAACATCTTGACTATTAACTACTGGATGGTTTTGCAATTTGAAAAGCGTGTTTCAAGCATTCTACTTGCTTTCTCGTTCATTTACAGAAACTATTTGGCCTCTTCCCAGTCCGAAACTATTTTTTAAGACCTGGCCTCCCATGGGAGACACATTAGCAAGCAAAGAGCTAGTGTGGTAGGCTAATAATTCATATGCTGGCTACTGCTCCTACACATGTGGGAGTAGGTTTAATATCGGATCAACTTTCTCTAATACTTACATGTAATACAAAATGAGCAAGGGTGTTATCACACCCTTCTTCTCTGTTTTCATGTCAGGAAAATGGTAGTGGAGAGGAAAAAAACAACTGTTTGGATTCTATTTTTTTTTTTAAAAACATCCTTAGGATATAGGTTTATCTATCCATACATTTTTTTATAACACTCCAATACATTCTGTAGTTGTCTAATTCACAGTTAGCTGTGTGCTTTACTAACACCAATTCATTAACCCAACTAATTAATAATATTGCCTATTTGCGTAACGATTCCTTTGTGGTATCTAGAAAAGCCCTACTCAGACAACACCAATGCTACAGAAAAGACAGTAATACGGTAATTTTCAAACTACTGACAAATAACCAGGAAGTATGCATACAGTTTCATGGCTGAGTGGATGACTACAAAATGAAGGTCTGACATTCTGATTTTACTATATTTCCCTTCTAAATACTTTTTCCTTGTGTAATGAATCCAAGTTTATTCTTAATTCTGTGATATTTTAATGCTCTTTCATTAGCTCCTTCTCAATAAGACAGAGATTTTAAATCAGAGTTTTTCAAGGTACCCCAACTTCCTCTTAATTCCACAATTGGTAACTTTTCTGGCTATTTCATTTTGAAGCTTAATTTAAATGTATTGCTAAATTGCTTTACTTACTCTCCACCAACCTTTCTTATATTGAGGAAGTTCACATCCAAAACAAATGGTGGAGGGTAGAGAGTTACACAGTGGTTTTAGGATTTGAGCCTGCTGCAGGACAGAGCAGGAGGTGCATGAGCACGTTAGCAAACCCAGGGAAAGACACCACCCAGTAAGGATTTCACAGCCCAGAAGAGCAACCAGGCAGGCAGGGTGTATCCTGCGGGGTTTTCCAAACTTCTTGGGTGGCAAAACTTGCTCTGCTGTTGGATTTACACTTCACGGAGCAGGCGAGGCAAGCCTTGCTTAGAAGAGCCCTCTTGGCATGCCCACCCGTGCAGGCAGCTGCCTTGGAAGGGCTGCCTTGCTCAGTAAATCATCCAGACAATGGGAACTCATGTTCTGCTACAGTTCATTATTTTCTCCTCACATCTGCTCCATTTCACTGATACGTATGGTCAATTATCTCCACAGCCAGATTATCTTTATTAAATTATGCAGCTGCTGCAGAGCATGCCGAGAAACACCAACTTTTGATAGAATTTACAGGTTCTTCTCTGGTGACAGAAGGCAGCAGGACAGTTTCCCACTGCTAGGGACTTTTACTTTCAGAAAGCCAGCCAGAAAACCTGCATCAAGGCACACAGCTGTTTTAAGTGCTATAAACTTTTGAACTGGCTTCTTATAACCCTCATGCTTTTCCTTTTAGGAAGTCTGACCTGTAGCACTTCCTAGTGTTGTCTAACTTGTTTACTCAAGTCTTTTTTGCTCACTTTCAGAGGTTCTCCATCAACTCTGAATAACATCTTGCTTCACACATAAGGTAAACTCTTACTGCATGGTCTCTTCTCCCATTCTGTTTCAACCTCAAGTACGGGAAGGTGGTATTTTTCATCACTTTAAAGCACATTAAAGCTTGCCTGCCCCCCTAACTAGTACTCTCTACGTTTAAAAGATGTGCACTGAAGTGAGAATTATCTCATTCAATGTCTGCACCTTGTTTGGTCAGTGCTGGGGATTTTGTGATAGCAGACAAATAACTGAGTTGGACAGCAAAGCCCCTTCTCCAAATTTCTTTCATTCAGGTCACTGTTGATGTTTTAGCTTCCAGGTAAAAAGAGCAAAGAAAAAAACATCAAACAGAGCAAACTAACTTTACTGGCACAGTATTTTCCCAGATTGGGTTTTCATTTATGAAGTCAATTAATTACTTCCTGACAATACTTAATGGCCTAAATCATAAGCTACAATCTGGTGCTAAGGTCATTCATTGCTGAGATTTATTTACAACCCAACTGTTTATTCAGGAAGCAAAAACAGTTTCCTGCTTTTGCTTTTTTGAAAGCCAAGCACAACAGTAAGAAAGCCTCAATAGATGCAAAAACTTTTTACCATTTTGCCACTCCAGCAAAGTCAAGAATTTTTAAATAGGTTTGACATTTCAGATGGGAAATTTCTGAAGTCCTCATGAATATATTATTTCAACCCATGACCTAAGAAATTTCTTTTCATAGGTACTTAAATAGTCTAAACACTACCCACTCTCCACACTGTGACATGCAATACGGCAGACTCACGTGGGATCCATTTTAAGACAACTACTTCACTTTATATTTTCATATAAAATGTGAAAATAATGAGATTAAAAATAAAAGAGATGTGCTCTTAGTTACTGGGATGTCTCATCACACAGATGACACACTTTCAGTATTTTTTCAGCATCTCCATGCTTTCAGAAACTCAGATCAAATGACCCTTCCTTTAAATGTGGTACGTTATTTTTGACACTACCTTCTTACTATGCAGAAAACTAACCCCACTAAAAGCAACTGTCTTCACGATTCCTGATCTTTTTCACTTACATTGAGATTATCCTTTCTGATGGATGCACACTGACACCTACTGCTTGGAGCAGAGACAACCCTGAAGGGGATTCATACAGGCCACATGATTTAGCTCGGTGAATTTGGATGGCTGTGTCACACAGGTTCCCCTACAGAGAAGGGAGATACACCTCAGGGAGCATCAGACCTGCATGGTAACTGGACACCCAGAGCAGGGGTAACCAGTGGCCTGGCATTTACTTTCAGCTAGGGCTGATGTGATGCAGGACATGAACATGCATCACACAATGTAACCATGATTTTGCAATGGGGCCCAGCATTCCTGTGGGCCTTAGGACCTCTTATGGCATGTCCATAGAGGAAGAAGTGTCCAGCAGGAAGGTGGCCAAGCAGATGTGAAATCCAGAACAAAATTTTTCAGCTCCTTCAGGAAATTGACCTGATAACAAACAGAGTAAAACATCTTAACCGATACTACAGGTTAAGAATACTTGACTTGCATTATAAAAAAAGAGTTGTCTCAAATAACAACTGTTAAAAGGAGAAACAGTCAGCTGTACTGAATACTACCAACAGGATGGATATCTGTACTTCTAGGAGAAGAAGTATTAAATCAGGTGAAACTGTCCAATGCCTTGCCCTGCACACATGGGTATTTAATTCAATTTTTGGCATTGCTTGTGATGTCAGCTCTCATCTCAATTTCAGTTTAATGCTCTGCATGTTAGCAAGGAAGCTCCACACTACAAAGCTTTTGCTTTTCCCCCC